CACTGCAAGCGGGTGCTGGGGGTGCCCGGGGTGCCAGCACAGCTCCCTGGTGTGGGTCCAGGTGCAGGCTGAGATCAAGAGGAACTGGGGCAAGTGGCAGTCGTCCATGGAGAGCAACGTCTTCAACCTGGTGACCCAAGACTTCACCGCGTGACGGGGACGGTGCCGGGGGGAAGTGTTTCCCTGAGCATGGGGAGGGTGGGGCAGAGCGGGTGCTGGGGGTGCCCGGGGTGCCAGCACAGCTCCCTGGTGTGGGTCCAGGTGCAGGCTGAGATCAAGAGGAACTGGGGCAAGTGGCAGTCGTCCATGGAGAGCAACGTCTTCAACCTGGTGACCCAAGACTTCACCGCGTGACGGGGACGGTGCCGGGGGGAAGTGTTTCCCTGAGCATGGGGAGGGTGGGGCAGCTCCAGGGCCACGCTCCCAGAAACGCAATAAAAAGGATTTTGTAGGTTCTGGGTCTGGCCCCCTCAGAGGTCGGTGGGAGAAGGCTCTGCCTGCTCGGCTGTTGGCAGCTCTCGTGGATCCACGACGGTGCCTCACCTGCCCAAAGCTCCCTTCACAGCTTGGCCAGTGTTTTAGGCAAAGAGAAGGGAGCTTCTCCACCTTTCCTGCCCCAGGGCTGGGTAGGAAACACCACTATCATCTCGGAAGGGACAGCTGCCATTTTTCCTGTGGCATTGGAGTGAAAACTGAAGTGGCCCCGGTGCTGAGGGTTCCTTCTTTGATTTACAAACCCATTTCCCATATGGGAAGATGCCTAAACACAGCCCCAGGAGCTGTTCTGGGAGGGGGAGAGGCAGGCACAAAGGCAGCCAGAACCTGACAGCTCTCTAGGTGAGATTCCTGATGGTCTCATGACTCAAATCCTCCCTGGCTTTCCAAAATGTCTCCTTTTCTCCTGTCCCTGTTGCTTCAGCTGTGAGCTCTGCGAGCAGTGGGACCTGCTTGTGTTTACTGGGGACTCCTTTGCCTGGGACTAGCCAGGGGTTTGCCAATAAAATCTTGTTCTGAAATCCAGCACCACTTTGCAGAGGTTTGTTTTGCTCTCCCAACCCAAAGGGCTCTGTACCAGGCTTGCTGGAAGGTGGACACCCTGCCCATGTCTGTAAGGCTTGGAAATGTCCCCTGGGAGAGAAATAATCTGCTCTCTCTCTGCCTGGGGAAGCAGCCAGGCCATGGAGAGGAGGTGGAGGAGAAAGGTGAGGAAGAGCACAAGGTGGGTGCATCACAGGCTGTCCCAGAGGTGCCGGGGTGCTGTGTCCCCTCCAGGACAGAGCTGCCACCACCACAGCACAGCCTGGCCCTCTTCACCCCACAAGCATCCTTCGCCCACCCTGCACTGAGCTGCCTTGGCAAGCACTGTCTCCAGGAGCCTCAGATGCCTTTTCCCCAACCCCTCTTGTCTCTCCTGGCCTCTCCCAGCCACACCACGGTCCTGAGACCTGAGCCACCTACATCCCTCCTTAAATAAAACCCACTTGTGTCCTCTCCAGACCACAGGATCTCCAGAGATCCCGTCTGATCTCACAAAGAGGCGCTGGGAGGGAGACTTGATTGGAGATGAGGTGGAAGATGTTCCATTAAACAGCCTCCTGGGCCAGCAGCATCCTGCATCAGTGGCCAGGAAGCCTCCAGAGGAGCACGGCAGCTGTCAGGTAAACATCAGCCTGTAGCCATGAAGAGCCCTCAGGTGAATAAGCATCTCCCTCTCTCATTAGTGAGGAAGAGGCTGTTTCAGCAGGGATGGGAGGCAGACAGCAGCAGATTGCACCAGGGCTGGGGAGGCTCAGTGGGAATCTCACAGTTATCAGGGAATCCTAGAATAGTTTAGGTGGGAAGGGACCT